TCATTATTCCCTAAATACTATAACATAACAATAATTTACATAGCGTTTACATTATATTAGATATTATATGTAAGGTGGAAATGATTTAAAGTATAAGGGAGAGTGGGCACGGTGTCTCACACCTGTAATCTTAGCACTTTGGGAGGTTGAAGCAGAAAGATCGCGTGAATCCATAAGTTTGAAACCAGCCTGGGCAACAGGAAGACTCTTGTCTCTATAAAAAATAAATAAAATTAGCCAGGCATGGTGGTGTGTGCCTCTAGTCCCAATTAGTAAGGAGGCTGAGGCAGGAGGAGCACTTGAGGAGCTAGAAATTGCTATGAGCTATGAAGATGCCAGAGATTAAGGAGGGAAGAAGAGAGAGGAAAAGTAAGCAGAGAAAAAGAGAGAGAAGGGAGGGAGGGGAAAGAAAAGAAATAATAAGTACAAGAGGATGTGTCTAGGTTATATGTAAATATACTATGCCATTTTATACAAGGGACTTGAACACCCATGGATTTTGGTATCCATTGGGGTGAGGACTGAAACCAATTCCTCACGGATACTAAGGGTCAACTGTATAGCAATTACATTACCATCATGCTATTTTACTTTTCAGAGAGCTTTCATGTGGTTTTGTTTTCTTTTAGTAACCGGAAGCATTTCCCAGTGTGTGCCCCATGTTAGGCTGGTTCCCCAGAAGCTAATGATGCTTTTTACACAAAGGCTTCTGTGCATATGAAGCTGAGATGTACTGGGTTAAACAAAGTTTAATAAACTTGATCGTTTTTCAGTCTTTAACATCCCAAAGTAAAATCAGAATCTCTAAGAGTGAACAACTGACATACAATGCTGTCCGAAGTTATTTCACCATGGAATCTTTTCTTAATAGTCATCTCTCAAAACTAGTGTCTCTAAACCTGGGAGCATTATGAAGAAAGAACAAGTACCCTGCCAAATAGAATGGTGTAATAGAAAGAAAATTCAAATGACAATCAGGAGACCTGAGTTCTACATTCAGTTTTGCCATTTACTAGCTCTGTGATCTCAGGAAAAACCACTTAATTGTCCTATGCCTTAGTTTTTATCATTTACAAAATAGCAATTATAATTCTAGTTGCAACCTTTTTCAGGGTTGAATAAAAGTTATTAGATATATGAGATTATGACATTATAAAATTACTGTTTGTTGAAGACCTTTGAGATAGCCAACATTACCCTATCAGAAAGGTAAAGGTTATTTTCAGTGTCTCTATTAAAATCTCCATCGCCTATCTCTCAGCTCTGCACTTTCTCCTCCTAAGCACCATGTGCTACTTTAACTTTGTAACAGAAAAATATTAACAAACCATGACTGGCAGTCTGAGAAAAAGTGAAAATTGAAGGTAATCTTAAGTCTCCCATTTATAACATACACACACTCCTCCAATAAGTAAAGTTTTGATAAACACTGAGAGGTAAAAAGATAACAGAAGTTCACTCCACAATCACTTAGGGATGGAAGTCAGGCGATTTTATGAAATAATCATTCCCATGCTCAATGAGTGAACTGGTCCTACCATCCCAAAAAATATGACTAACTAACTAACAACAGATAAAGGAAAACCAATTTTACTGAAATTAATGAGGTCACTGAAGGTGGAGAAAGGGCCAAAGCTAAAAAAGGCTAGAGACAGACAAGGCTATTTGGTGACAGTTCTCCAATTCATTGCTATGGTCAAAACTTGTAACAAGTTTTAATATTACAGAGTACATGAATTGCTTGATGCTAGTTACCTAGTGATGTTCCAAATGGCTGTAGTACTTACAACACCTGAAACACAAAGGAAAGCCCTCTCTTCCATATTGATAAATCAACAGGGTAATTCTGCAACTGATAAAAAGAAACACTAAGCGATCTAGATAACAGCTTCACTTCCTATATAAAACACTTCAAAATACTTAAATGAATATAGAAATGTAATTTCTGTGGCAAATGGTTCATTAATGAATCATTACCAACTCTTGTCAGACAAAATTTCTCATTTTTGCAATGTACAAAATCATTAAAGTATTTAAAGCTCTATCAGGAAAGACAGTGGTACTTTATAATATACTGTTTCTTCAGGCTAATGTACTTATGGCTGAAGATAATACTCAAAATAACAACATTCCCTAGACATACAATCCCTCCCCTACTTAATGGTGTTTTCATATGTTGACAGCAATGATGAAATACGTTACTGCTTTCCTATTAGCTTTAACTGTTTCTGAACATTCATCATTCACAGCTCCACTCTCAACTATTACCTGTTGTGGTAACTAGGTATCAACAGTTTCAAATGCTTTTAAACAGTGTCATATACATCTCAGGAGAGCTTTAATAATTTGGTTTTTCAGCCAAAAACTTCCTTAAATTATCAAATGGCTAGAAAAGTGAATTTATCCATTGTAACTCTACCTACTGCTATAAACCCAAATATTCCAGCATCAGTTCCGTTACTTCAGCTCCTATCAAGTTGGACTGACTGTAGCTCTATGAACTGCACTAAAATTTAGAAGACATTCATTTGCAAAAGAAAGCTACTGTCTCACAGATTGCTTAGATCAAGTCATTAGATTAGGGTACCTCATTTGATCATTTTGAGTGGAAATAAAGGAACTGTAGTAAATCAGATAATGTCAATGACACAGTAAATTCCTTTTGAACACATCTGCCTAATCATTTCAGGATTATTTCTCCCTCCTTTATACATAAACAAACATTTTTTAATTAGGCAGTTAAAACTCACTATGAAAAATGTATGGTCTGTATATCTGTACCTGTCACAAGGTAGTATCTATACAAGGTAGTCCAGATGAATGCAGGGTTTTTATTTTTCATTTGAACCATGAAGAGATTAGCCTGTTTACAAATTAAAGTTGTTTTACTTTAAGACTTCTTTTAGGTGTTGGTTTTACATATAGGGTACAGGTGACTACTAAAAGTATTCTAATAATTATCTGAAAACTGAAGAAACTGACAAGCATGTGCTCATAAATGCAAACTAAGAAAACGCTACTTCAAATGGAATTACAAAAATATTTCTAGTTAGCAGCTGCTCAGAGAAAATGAATGACATGCATCCCTCTTAGGATTCATTTAATTCCCACCCTTGTCCCCCACAATTTTAATAGTCACCTTGGCTCAAAGCTGTGCTAATGATGCAATTCCACTGAGCCTAAAAGTCATCTCTATGAGGAAGCATAATGGTTGGAACAGAAATACAAAAAGGGTAATTTTTGTTTTTTTTTCACTGTTCAGATTTCTATCTTCAATTAAGAAAGCTTAGTTTAATCTGAAATTACAAAAATAGTTACATTAACTTGCCCTACTATGCTTAGTATAAATCAAATCATACTTGGGGAAAAGTTACATTGCAAAAGGAAATTATTTGGAATGTTATATCTATGGCAAGCTCAATAATAATTTTTAAAAATAAGTTTTTAAATAGTAAGCTTCCCCTAGCCTAATCATAATTTTGTTCTTAATTTACTTCTTATTTTTACCTGAAGTAATAAGAGATTTAATACCATGGTTTTCCATTTGCATGTATGTTGAAACAAATTGTGATTCTAAACACAAGTTTTATTGCTGATCAGATTTTTTTTACTCGTGTCATACTCAATGATTCTGGTTTCAAATTGTCAACTGCCTAAGGCAAAATTCACACAAAAATATCAGACTGTCTCTCAATACTATAGAGGATAGGGGAAACAAAGCTTATGCAAAGCAAAATCATGTATAAAGACATTGCAGACCACCAGGATTTTGGATTTGAGTAATCCACTTAGATTAGCATGGCTGTGTCTTAAAAGGACAATTCTAAGATCACAATATAGGTCACGTCCATAAGAAATAGAATAAATAATGAAATCAATGTCAATTACACAAAATTCCATATTTACATAATGACAACTGGTAAGATAAATTAAATACACCTTCTCCAATGTGCTCAACCCCAGAATAAGCAAGAAGAAAAAATAATGTCATGAAACACAGAGATTCTTTACCATTAGGTTTTGCAAAAAGGTAAAATAATCATTAAAAAGAAAACAGAAAAGAATGGTATCCATGAGAAAATGTAAAGTAAGAAAGAAGGAAAGAAAGGTGGGTAGGAAACAGAATATCTTATAAATGTTCTCTCAAAATATAAAAATCAATTTTAGGTCATAAAGTCATACTCTTCCAATTCCAACTTTTGGTCTGGTGCAAACCAAAACTTCTAAAAATTCCTCTTATGAACCCAAATGTTTAAAATGAATTCTGCATCTTCTAAATGTACTACTATGTTTTAACAAATAATACCAAAAGAACTAGTTTAATGTGAGTAAAATCTGTCTAAAATTACAACATATATGTAATTACCACATACATATAGCTGTTAAGACACATACTGTGTTTCCCTGAAAATAAGACCTACTCAAAAAATAAGCCCTAGCAGGATTTCTATGCATTTGTTAGATAAGCCTTATCCTGATAATAAGACCTAGCCACGCCATGCATTTCGACACGGAGAGGAAGACATCCCTGAAAATAAGCCCTAGTATGTCTTCTTAAGAAAAAATAAATGTAAGACAGTGTCTTATTTTCAGGGAAACATGGTAGTAAATCACAAATACCCTGAAGCAACACTTCTCTGATCCAGAAAACATGCAATGGTTGAAGTCACAAAGACAACGCCAAAACTGATACTCAAAATGTTACTACTTATTTTTTTTGTCATCAATAACACTAATAGTATAAGAAAAGACCCACATTTCTGGATGCTTGCTCCTTAAGCTGAGATGAAACAGAGAAGCCCTGGATGCCACCATAAACTTGGGAACTTTCTTTTAGATCAGCGGTTCTTGACCTGCAGGTCGCGACCTCTTTTTAACAATGAAAATACATTGTGGCATTAGGAAGGTCCAGAACCACTATTCTAGATACTTACGTGTCCTTCCTGGACAAGAGAATAAAAAATGTCTCTGACCAAAGAGGCTTTGAGAAGACTACTTACCCATCAGATTTGAGTTCATGAAAGGTGTTGGGGACAAGCCTTCATGGGCCCCTAATCGACTGTCATTCAAGTGATCACTGTAATGAGGGCTGTCTGTAAAACCCTGGGGAGAAAGAAAAAAAAGACCAGAGTATTAAAGAGATTATTTGGCAGTCCTGCTAACTGAGTATAAGGACATTTACTGAATTAATATACAAACTTACAAATAGTTACTCCTAATCAAGTTTTTTCATTATTTGAAAAACTAAACAGCAGAAATTCTCCTTTTAAGACTTGAAAGCCAAAAAAATATTTTATTAATCTTACAAAATACTATGAACACCAATGTTTCCCAAGTATACATAGGCTCTTCTAACAGAAGGCTGTAAAAGTTAGACTATTACTAAAATTAGCTCTAAAATCTCTTTGTATCTAGAAGGAAGGTTCTATGGATAACTAAAAATAAAAGAATGAACTAAGGAAACATTTCAGAGCCACAATAAGTTAGGAAAAATAAACATTCTCTATCCTCCTATTCTTTTTCTGACCCCAACCCCTACAAATAAAGGGTCAGGCAAGTTAGTGCTGTAGCTTAGAACAGTTTTTTTAGCAGTATAAAAGAAAGAAAAGATAAAATTAAAAAATAAAGTAAGTCTTAGAAAATCCCTGTGGATTAAAAACTGTCTCACATGAATTAAGTACAGCATCACCTTCAAAATTATATTGTTTCTAAACAAGGCTTTGAGTCCTTTTAATTAAAATTACAGGTGATACCTATCCCTGTGCCAATAAAAACTGTCATAGTAAAGAACAGAAAAACTTACAAGAAGATGCCCAAGTAGGAGAAAAAACTGCCCTGGCTCACAGAAACCAGAAACCACCCAGAATCCCCTGGGACTATAAAATCATCAATCACTGAAAATTTATCATTACCCAGACTGCAGGCTAACATTGAGAAGACATTAATGGGGCTGAAACAGGCCTCACTTATCTTTGCAGGCATGCTGTCAGTTCATCCAAAGGGCTAGAAACCAAGGGCTACATAACTGTCAAATCACTACAATTGCTTATGGATGCATGTCACAACTCCTTCTGCTATTCTGTTTAAAATTAATCTTCTGGGAGTGCTAACTCCCAAATGAATCTTTGCTTCATTTTTATCTGCTCTGGAATCACTGATACACATGTGATAGACATTCAAGAAAAATCTGTGTGACATTTACAACTTGGTTAAGACCACAAGGGTGTCCTCTGGTAATCACTACCACAGTACTATCTGTCATAGCCACATGCAGCAGAAGCTATGTACAAAATAGAATGGCTCCTAGCTAAGGTTACTCCATAGAGTTTACTTTTATCACTTAAAACTAACACTGTTAAAGTGCTAAGTGACATACTATCTCACATACATTTGGGTCTTTTCTCTGCCACTGCCTCCTCAGTGTTATTCTTTGCACAGGTAAAAACAAGGCATCAAAACATAAAATACTCACTGAAACACTGTTCTTCACCCTAAAACAGTATTACTCTAGAAACTGCCAGTTGAAATCTGTTTGTGTATCAGCCACATTGTTCACACTACGTTTGAATGCTAAAGGATAATGAAAGATTAATTTTGTATGCTCTCAGTTCTCATTCGTTTTTAAAAAAAAGTTCAAATATTAGGGGGAACATGTTGTACGTTTACAAACTTTGTTTTTGTATACATTGAGTTGTTATAAGTGTGCCTTTCATTCAGATAGCATGTACTATCCCTAAGAACTATGAATTTATCCATTCCCTTCCACCACCACCACCCCCCAGCTTGATTTCCATTGAGATTTACTTCCATGTGTAAATTTGAGTGTTCATCAATTTGGTACTGAGCCCATGTGTTTCCTGGGATGTTTCACTTAGAAGAATGATTTCCAGTTCCCTCCAAATTGTCACAAGATACTAGATTGCCATTTTTTATGGCTGAGTAATACTTTGTGGTATGCATATGCCACATTTTTTTTCCTTTTACTGTTATTTGCATTTACTTTATGTCGTATCTATTCCTATGCCATAAGTTTTTGTTTCTTCAGTTTCTTCTTGGATATCTTTTTCTTCTGTGCTACCTCCTCTTCTGTTTGGGAACAATGTGTTCCTTTTCAGTAAGGACCACCTCAGTGTGGCAGGGGGAGCTCATGTATGGGTTAATGCAACCATCAGCTCTGTAAGTTCAGTGATGTGCTTGTTTTGATAAGAATCTTTGTTTTTTATTTTATGTGATGTATTATATTTATAAATTTACATATATTGAACCAACCTTGAGACCCTGGGATAAAACCAAATTGCTCATGCTATATAATTTTTTTGATATATTGTTGAATTCTGTTTGCTAGGATCTCATTGAATATTTTTGCATCTATATTCATTAACGATATTGGTCTCTAATTTTCTTTCATTGTTGGATATTTTCCTGGTTTGGGGACCAGGGTGATATTTGCTTCATAGAATGTGTTGGAAGTATTCCTTCTTTTTTTCTATGTTTTGGAAAAGGTTACATAATATAGGTACTCGTTCCTCTTTAAAGGTTTGGTAGAATTCTGATGTGAAGCCATCTGGTCCTGGACTTTTCTTATTTGGGAGATTTCGTATAGTTGATGCTATTTTAGTGCTTGATATAGTCTACTCAGCATTTCCCATTTTTTTCTGGTTGAGTCTAGGAAGGTGGCATGCTGCTGAAAGGTCTATTTCCTCCAGATTTTTAGGACACTAGCCTGCCAAGTCTCCCCGACAGTGAATAAAGCTGCTTCCTCTTCCAACTGATGCCTGTGGTCTTTTGTCTGTGTCGGCTCCTGCTATACCTCAACTACCACATAGAGTTAGACAATGAGAACGACTATCCATATACAGAAAAAGCAAGAGGGGAAAATGCTGTAACTCAATGAAGTCATTGGGCAACAGAATAGCAGAGAACAAAGCAAAATGATGCTGTAACCCCCAAAGGGCCGCGGAATATAACTAGAAGGTGACTAGCTGAAGGAAGTGGTTGGAGTGACAAGAAAGTAACAAAAAACAAGCTAGAAATGGTTAAGATGTAGCCCAAGTAGGTCAGTGAATGGGATGGGTAAGTGAATGTTATCTCAATTTTGGAACATAAAGGAAGTAAACTGGTGAGCTCATGAAATACAAAACAATCACGGTGCATATTTTCAATTGATAGAAGGAGCACCTAATGAAGATCCTGAATTTCCATAAAAATGGTTTTACTGTGAAAATAACCATTAATAAAAATGTTTTAATATGAAATGATATACATTATAAAGGGTACAGCAATTCTAGCACAATGATTTATTATATTAGCCTGTTAGCTACAGTATAAAACTGACTGCAAAAGTGTTACCACATGCACCCTAAAAAAATTACTATTTGCATCCTACAGCAATAGTGAAGGACATTCAACAGATCAGAAATTGATAAAATAGGTTGATAACATGAAGAAATCACAAACACTGTTCAATTACACACATAAAATCTGTCTAAATTATTTATAAATAATTATAATTATTATAATTTATAAATATCTAACTTAATTTATAAATCTTAAATAGTCCATCTGTGAATGTATAACACTTTATAAACTCTTTGATATTATAAAATATGTTCTATAAAATATATTTCATACTTCAAATTCCTTCTAAGGTGCAGGAATTTAGAAATGTTAATCCCTGCTAAAGTATGCCAACAGACCCAACGTGATCAATCAAAGCCATTTCTGTTTTGAAACCAACACAAATAGCATGTATTCAATCAAATCGTTTGTTAGATCTATCAAAAAAACCCTCACCCTAGCATTATTTGTATAACAGTACTCTTCTCTAATCATTTCAAAAATGTAAGAACTTTTCATTAGTTTAATTTTTTAAATAGCTCATTCAAAAATTTATTTCACCTAAGCAATAAATAAAATGTAATCACTAGAGGACCTTCCCAAGCTCAGAACACATTATGGTTTTTCAAGCCTATATTGTTATTTCTTTGTATGAAAACTTTTGTCTAATTTTATTTTAACATATTCTCTCCAAATTTTTAATAGCTTTTTTCTAAAAGGGAAGGGAAAAAAGCTCTTCTAATAAAAATTTACCTTTTCTGTAACACTTCCTCTGACCCAAATAAGACCAAATCAAGTGAGTTTATTCTGTACTACCACAGCAGTGAGCACTTCCATCCTAGCAGTACTCACACTTAACTAAAACTGCCTATTTAATTATTCATTTAAATGGTACCAGAATTATCTGTCATAAATGCACAACACAGTACAGTGTATGATAAATACGGAATGTCTGAAACCAGACTAGCAGATCTGAATTCCATCATGTTACATACTAGCTGTGTGCCTTGGGGCAAATCTTTCTTTTTTTAGTTTGCTTTTCTGTAAAACAGAGATAACTAATAACACCACCTTCACTTCACAGGTTGCTGAGAAAGAATTAAATGAGTTAATATATGTAGAAGTTGGAAAATTTCCCAGCACACAGTAAACATACAATAAATGATACCCATTTTTATTATCATCTTTCTAGTTACAGATTGTTATGTCTTACAAATTGAGAGGGTAGGGAGCATGTCTGATTGTTTCACAATTAAATTCTCAGAACAATGGCTGGTACATACATAGTAGTGCCTAATAAATGACAGATGGGTGAGAAGTTTCAGCTGCTAAATCTTTAAAATGCTACAGAGTTTTAGAAACCATAAATGTTCCATCAGTTCTCCATAGAACACACAGTTAAACAGAGGAAAGAAGGGTAATAAAATATTAGCTTAGCTAAATGGGTTGAACAAGTAACCCCAGGTTCCTAGTATTAAAAGAGCTACAAGATTTCCCATAATGTACTGAAACCCTATAACCTCTAAGTGGGCAGAGCCCATAGAACCATCCAAAAGCCATAAGCCAACAGAAAGCTCTAGATGAGGCCTAGGTTATGAGTGGTTTTGCTTCAAAGTCCTAAGAAATGAAAATAAAAATAAGTAGGAATAAAAGAAGTTCAAATGATAAATTGAACTTCTATTCATATTCTAGATCTATTTAATAAAGGTTACACTTTTAAAACAAATCCTTAAATGTGACTATCTCTCTCAGTTAAACACACCTAT